TTAATGCTCAGCCAGACTTCTACATTGAAGAGAATGTGGGTCAGCCACCCTAAAAGCAACTCTCCCATTATCTTGGCTCCCTCTTAAACAGAGCTACCCCCCATGCCAGGAGAAATTATCCATCTTGTTAAAAAAAATGCAACCCAGTGCAAAAGATTACAGGTAAAATTCTCTATGTGCTAAGCAGTGAGAACACAATGCTGCCTTGCTTTAAGTTCTTCCTAGGGTATCCACCACAGGTCAGCTCAGAATTGCTCCATTCAGTGAATTTTGCTGGGCTTTTCCAAGGTCACCAGGAAATAATTTATTAAAAAATAAATAAATATTTACAATCTTAGTTATTACTGGGTTTTATCCTCAAAAGACCTTATCAAAAGCCTCCTGAAATCAAGACTGATCACAATTTCAGTTGGCTTTGAAGCAAAGTTCTGGACCTGGTGGCCTAAATCATGTTGCTGTTGTTAAAGAGTGAATTTCCTGAACTGAGTTGGTTGAAATTCAATGTCATATTCTGAGAGGATATAAAATGTAGGTAATCGGCAGATATCCCTCACACACCATGTCTTTTCCTACTGGGACATGTTACCACACATAAAATGCCAAATACAGAAGAAACTTCATATATGCAAGATTGCTATTGTCTGCTGTCCCCCACCACGGGTTTAATTAACACACATTTCAAAACCAATTACTCTTTCATACACTAAACTAGTATTTAGAATTAACAACATCATTCTCGATAGGTCCAGACTGAGAACAATTGACAACACCAAGGAGATGACCAAGATGTCTCTTCACGCATACTGAGGCAGACTACAGAAGGACAGAGAAGAGCACCGTAGTTTTATGAGCATGTTAAACCAGCCCTGTTGCTAAAAGGAGGCTGGGAAGGGGATACAAGTCTGCTTCTCCCTTTGCTATTTATTCTTAATCCTCAGCTGTCCCCTTCTTCATGCCAGCACAAATGTTCATAAAGTCCTACAATAAATTGTATCAAAAAATAACTCAGGTTTAAATTTAACCAGCAAAGCAAACCCAGCTTAGTTTTAACCTGCATCAGTGCTCTTCCAATTCACCGTACGCTGGCAGAAACGTTCCCTGTGGTTAAGGACAAGTGATGGGGTCAGGGAGGTATTTGAGTGCCTCTTTCAGCAGCAGTTGTCGGTTTATGATGCCTTGCCAGGCTGATGGAAGTACCCTGTTGGTAGCATCTCTGTTGTGCTTTGACACTGCCATTACTGTCTGACATTTAAACTGGGAGCACAGAAGTATCTCAGGAAGCTGTGGCCTTTCTTGCTGGGATTTTTAAAAGTAGAATAATTAATATTCTCAATTCCTAACTACTCACAGTCTCAAAGGCAGCCATACCAGGTGAGAAAGATAGATGTCAGGAGGCAAAGAGATACTGTCTCATAGCTTGTGAGTAATTCTCAGCCATGAATTCTGTGTCAACCTAAAAGCTTTGGCCACTATTATTTTAAAATGGACTTTTATTAAATACTGAAATGCTATCCCTCTTGTGATTACATTTGGAAGAAGTAAAAGCTTGCGTCTCCCTGCTCTGTAGAGCTGTGAAGTCCAGCAAACATTCCTATGAAATGGTGACAGAGAAACTGAATCAGCTGCACTGCACTCACAAATTATATCAATATGATTTTTACCCAGGTAGGGGTAGGTAATAATGCTTGAGAAAAATTATAGCAAACATCTAGGAAAGAACTATACATTAAAGCTTATTAATTGAATGAAATAATGCAGGGAATACCTACTAACATTATTAGTCACTTCATCTATGAAAATGTATTAGAATAAAACTGTATTGTTGATATATTTTGACAAAAGGTAAGATGATTAATGCTTTTAAGTTTCCATTTGGTTTTCTATACTATATGTTTTAGATTCTAAAGAGATAGCTGGAAAATAGAGTATCTTCTGGTTAATTTTTTTTCATGTTCAGCAAAACATACTAGATGTTTAAAGCTGCCAGATACGTTAGGGCACTAGTACTGTAATGTAATGTAATATTTTATCAAGTGATAATTGCATTTTTTATGAAACAGTTGCGTTCAAAGAACAATACACATCCAATATGGAAAAGCTTTATAAGATCATCTTCACATCAGTGCACATTTGTTTTCTATAGGAATTAGAGTTGAATCTCACTTTTCTAAGACCCACTGTCACTGGATAATCAAATGCTAAACTGTTGATAACTGGGAAGCACCAGTCACTGCTGATGCAAGTACAGTATAGATATCTGAATGTCCTGATACTTATTTTACCTTCTGCCAAAATGCTACATATGTTCAAAAAATCAGCAGACCTGAGGAACAGCTAACTACACTGGCAACTACCACTTAATAGTCTCACTGTCTGTTTTCATCTTTTTTTCCTAATTTCATTGTAGTGCATTATTTCTATTTACATCCTCTGGTGCTCACATATGTTATCCAACTGATATGTATACACTTTGCAAATACAAATGTTAACCATATAGCTCTACTGTACTGGAATAATAACTTAATGTACTGCCCTCTAACGTTGATTTCCTACATAGTTACAAGCTTCTGTTCGCATTCTAAGAAATGTGCACCTATCTTTTAACGTTTCTACTGAGATGGGGTTCACAAGTTATTTCTAAAAGAACTACCTGATTATAACTCTTTAAAATTCTTCAGTGTAATGAATCCTGCAAGATTAATAGAATTAAAGGAAGATTTACAAAAATCATGTTTGTGAAAAACCATGAGATACCCAAGAAAGATGTCTCATCTGTTCAAGGAGGGAAACAAATACAATCCGTCACCTTTGGCTCTACAAGGTGGTCTATCTCCGAGCAGATAAATATCATCTCTCTTTCCTGTTTGATCAATTCTATTGTCTCATATTTCAGATTATTCCTTTGTTCATCAAAGTCTGATAATTTTTAATGACACCATAAATATGATTGCCTTGTCCCCAAGGACTGTAATTATGAAAAAGAATTTGGTGAGAGGAATTGAGATACCTGAGCGTGAAATAATAGAGAGAAGCTTAAATACACTAAGGACCATGTAGATTCTGTCCTTTACACACAACGCCAATTAGTTGAGCCTGAAGTCCTTTCGTACTCTTATTCAGTGAAGGCTAGGGAAAATTAATTTTTAACTTTTTAGAAATGAGTTATATTTAAAATCAATTAAAATAAAAAACAGTGGAAAAAAGAACACGAAATTTCAGATTTTCGATACCCCAAGTGTAGGGGAACAATGTATGCTCAAAGTCTTTGTTTAAAATGTACATAAGCATTGTGAATATTGGGGGTGTGAGGAGTGAAAGATTCAGCACAGCAGAAACAGCCTTCATTCAAAGATCTGCTTTTTTCACAGCTTGTTGGCTTCTTCTCAAGAGAACAATGCCACATGAGCAGAGGCAGACCAATAATTCTTTGAAGTAGCAGGACAAACTGTTTTAAAATGCAAAGAGTAGGTTTCTGCACAGAGGATCACAGGAAGTGGTAACACTGTTTTTTTCATCTTTGTGGTTTGCACTAATACATTACTAGTCTGTTGGGTAAAAGAGAGTTAACAAAAAGGATCAAACATGAAAGACAGATGATATTTATCTGCTTAGAGACAGTGCATCTTGTAAACGACATCTAATCCCTCTGTCAAAAATTAAAGAACAGTTTAGGGAAGAGGAGCCCACAGAGTTGTATGGAATTCCTGATGCAATTGATCTCCGGAAATGGCATTTGGGCGTTCTTGCTCCTATTAAAAAAAAAATGGGAAAAGGTTTGTTTCCCTTATTAAATCCCATGGATGTGAGTAAACATTAACTTACACCTTTATTATTTAGCTACTCAAAAGATACAAAATTTCATATTAACAGAATATCTGAGAATAACCAATAGAGACCAGGGAAATGAAGGCTGGGTTTCATTCTTTCCATAAGGCAATATGTACCTTGTTTTTAATAAATATGTACTAGTTTCTTGTTTTAATAATGTAAGTACTATACAGTTTAAAAATAATTTGTCATACCATAATTTTACCTTAGGCAACATCATGTTTTGTCTATGTAATGACTCCAAGTAGGGTTATATATTCCCTTGTTAATGCAATTCACTCAGTCATGACCAGATCCTTTAAGTAATACAAGGAGAAATGCATTTGTGTCATCTGACATAGTCAATATGCTTAGATAGGAAATTATTTACATTGTGGACTAATAAGTTTGAAAGCTCAGTCTCATTACTCACTATCACTTCAACGCTTTACAAAATCCACTAACTATGCATGGTACCATGGTCTTCAACAAAAACCAAGGAGCTCAAAGCAAAATCCTCACCATCTGAGCCTGACGAGTGCTGCTGACTTCCACTAGGAGTGTGGACATGCAAAAATATTTGCAGGACTGTAACCAAAATTTAGAAGTGATTTTCAAAATTAATAAAGTCAATTGATATGATTAATTAGAGTATATATTTTATTTTTTTTAAAATATAACATTCTAAAAACAATTTATATCTGTAATACATAAAAATTTATTAAAATCCACATATAAGATATACAAACATTAACAGAATTTGAGAGTGGTGACAAACTTTCCAAGAAGGGGGTGGAAAGTGATAACTTCACTTTTCCAAGAAATATTTTTTAAACTGTGACTTTCACTTGTGTTAAGAATCCATTTAAGATATCAAATTCTATAACTGACATAGTGCTATCCAGACTATTTTAATGCCAAGAGTTTAGATACCAGAGAATTATCACAAACCCACATCTCTGAGTATAATACATCAAAGAGCCAGTGACCCAGATGTCACCTTGAATAAATAATATTATTATTCAGTGGCACTTAAGGATGCCTAGCATTTTGCAGAATAAAAACTCACTGTAGTATATAAACAGTCCTCCAAAATGGACGATGCCATGAAGCTTTTGCTGCCCACCCTCTATTTGTAGAGCAAACCAGTTTCCAAAGTCTTTTCCTTCACGTGGCACTTTGTCACTGACCACTTAACTGCTGGTAGCACTGGGATGCAGTGGTTTGACTCTTGCTAGTCTGGAGAGGCCAAGTCTAAGACACTGAGTAGGTGACTTAACTGAAACATATTTCATGGAGTTATTACTGCTTCCCGATGCAGCTGAAAATAATTTTAAAACAAAAAGAAGGTGTAAGAAGTTAAGGGGGGAGGGAATCATAAAACTGTTGTCTTTTCATAGTTTTCATAGCAGAACAAAAAAAGTATTCTAAAGATATTGCAAAAAGGTCTGAACAACATACCCCAGAAGCACACGAAAATCATCATACTCACCGGGAATCAATCTATTTGGGAGCCAATGCAGCAGGTATGGCACACAGTTTTAAGTAACCAGCCACACACTGGAGCAACACTGAACAAGCACATAAAAACTGCTCCCAGCGTACTGTGCATTTTCAGGTGCTCCACAGAGAATCACACAACTAAACACAATTCTAAGTGGGAAAAGAAGGTTTGAGAGAAAGGAGCCAAACAGAAAGAAACATGTACAGAAAAGAAGAGTAAATATGAAGGAAAATCAAAATAAGAGGCAGGAGTCAGCAGCAGCATGCTTAAACACTTTAAGAAAATAAAGCTTCTAAGCATTTGCTTTGCTAAAGCAACTAAAACACTCCAACATTTTTCTAATATTATTTCTTTAGAATAGATACTAGTGCAGCACATACCAGAGATAAAGAAAGCTCTTACTAAGAGAGAAATGGCCATAAGACGATCTCTTGATTAAGAGTTGATCCACAGTCTGGAAAATATTTTATTATCCTCCCCACATAACGGAGTTAAGGATAACACTATAAGAGGGAAAGAAGCAGGTGGATAGCTTTTTTTTTTATAAAAAAAATCTAAGGTCAAAAGAATACCTTCCGTTATAAGAGGGCAGTAATTTTTCTGAAATATTGTTTATTTGTTTGCTTTTAGGAGAGACTGCTAAAAGCTTAAGTCAACTAATGTATCCATTTATAGATACAATCTCACAGGTACCTGGTGGTGTCCATTTAGGCTTCTTGTCTGTTACAGGACTCGAGGTATGCAAAGGCCTCCCAACTGGTTCTGAAGAACTGGACATCATCTTCTGTGTCAGCTCAGATTTTTGTTCCGTTATCCGTAAAGGAGAAACTACAGGTGATACTTAGTTGGAAAATAAAAGTGACCTTAGACAGACACTCTTTTAGCAGGGAAATCATCACACTACATAAGATGATAGAACATTGCACGGCACAAGCTCTCTGCATTGAGTGAAATAATATGTTACTAGACTGTCACATCTTTAACAGTATATATTTATACAGTCAGTCCTCTTATACTCTGGAATTTCAATCCTGGTTTGAAAATAAGCAGCGTAACAATTTCTTCTTAAAGACCTGTCAGATATCAAATTTCTAAGAGGCAAGATTCTTCTTTCACCTACATAAAACAAATCATTCCTTGTCATAACTAAAACTAATTTTAAACTAAATTACATGTTGTAAACTCAGACCTGAAATTAAAACACATTACCAAGTCACACACAAGATTAAGACCATAATAAGAATTTTCTTAAGCTATTTAAAGTAAATTGTGTTAGCAACACAGTGAAAAATTAACTCTGAAGGGCATGCATATTTAATGTTCTTCACCAAGTCATTAGTAGAACTAGTATTGTTTAGCTATCCTTGAATTAAAAATTTGTAAATTCAACTGCAAGAGGAGGGTCTGAGACTGTAATTTATTTTTTTTAAATCCTCAGATCACTGTTATCTAACCTTTTCTTAAAAGCTAGATATAGTCATATAAAAAGAGATGAACTCCATCTATTCACTTTTGTCTGCTTTTATTGTAAGGAGTGTTAGTTTACCACAAAGCAGGGTCTTTTTCAGGATTCTTTTCTACTCTCCTCCCTTTTCTCTGCATATAGTCATTTTCATCATAACCCTGCACAGTCAGTTTGTCAGCCAAATTTATCTATTCCTTCAGTGAAAATAAAAGGAACTTTTACTACAAACAAGTCTTTCAAATTCATAGTACAAACTTACCTGTAGTATTAATCTTGGATTTGGGAGTTTTCTTCTCTCTTTCAGCTGGTATTTTTTGTCTGGTTTTCTTTTTATTTCCTTTGGCTTTCTTCTTTTCCATTGCGAAGTCTTCATCATCACCTTCACTATAATCTGAATCTTCTTCTGATTCCTCACCTACAGCAAGGAAAAGGCATGTCAACTCTTTACTTTAAATGCAATTTACTATTACTCCAGGGCCTTCTAATCACATTCTGGACATAAAGAACCAGGATATTTCAAGGACATAGTAAAACAAATTTGCATGTATTTATATGCTGAACTGAGAAAGAAATAGCCTCCATAAAACATTTCATATTCACAGAATTCTTGCTCTGTACTTTAATAATGGAACTCCCTGGTATAAACTACATACAATAATTATTTTAACAGCAGAATTACCAGTATTCCTCATGCGCAAGATGAAAAAGTTAAAATTATTTGCCAGGGCTTCTGACTTTTTACATGTTCTTAGTCATGATTAAAGTGGAAAAACACTATGTCTAATTTCAGCTATAAGAAAGATTTTATAGATCTGTTCTTAAAAAACCCCCAAACATTAGCGAATCTTAAAAATGGTTCTCTATCAACAGGAATATCTGGATTATTCCCCTGGTATTTCATTTTATAGATAATTCTGTAAATATTTTCCCGTAAACCTAGCAGTAAGGAATAAAAGAATGGATAGAGACATGTTAACCATTGGAGAATGAGAGAGAGACGTCTATCATACTGTGCAGGCATTCGATACTACGCTGCTACCAGAAGCAGAGTATGAGGCTAGGCTGACCTCCAATCGGATGCAGCATGGTTTTCTAAGAGTTGAGAACTGGACGAAGGAAAAGAAAGGCAGCCACTTTTTAAGTAAGCTTAAACAAAGCCAATACTGAAAGCACTAACACCTGACACTACTCCAGAGTCACTGTTCTGATGCAACCCTCAGACAACTGGAAAAAACGAGACGAAAACGTTCCTGGACAAAGAGGGTAGAAGAAATTTGTTCTGACATACTGCAGCAAATGTAGAGAAGAAGTATCATTTTTTGCCAGTTTGGGGAATGCATATGAATAAGCTCCAACATTTAGATATAGTATCAAAGTGCAATTAAGATGCTATTAGTATTAAAAGAGGGAGGGGAGGGAAGATACAGTAGAAGCAGTATGCATTTCACTGAAAATATAAACTAAGTGTAAGGCATCACATTCAAAGCACATCTCAGGAGAGGGTTTTTTTAGATAACTTACTGGGTACAGACTCTGGTTCAGAGGCAGTAGCATGCTCTCCATCATCACTGTCAATGGTCAGTAACTTCTGATGTGCTGAAACTTTAGACGTTGCTGTCCTTTGCCTACGGTCACCCCTGGGTATGTCATCATCCATAACCTGATTGAGACCTGGAAAGCAGAAGGTGGTGCAATAAATTTAAATTCACAGTACATCTATTCTCCTACTCAAAAAGGAGCAGGTATTTGAGTCCCCAGAATTCATTCTTGTGATTTTGAAGTATACTATACAGATGCGTATCATTGTCACTCATTTTCATGTGATTCTCTTTTAACTGACCAAACTGTACTTTCTGGTTGTGAAAGTTACCCATATTTATCTGTAATCAAACTAGCAAAAGGACAGAAGACCAAAAATAGAAGTGGGAAAATGAAAAAGTTTCCAATGGCACAGCAAACATTTTGGCCACATTTATTTGATGCTTAGGCATTATGGACCCATTAAGGAGTTGAGGCTAAGTGTAGCTTCTTCAAGAAGTAAATAAACTCGGCATCTAAAACCATCACATCTGTTGCTTTTTCCAACTAAAGTTTAGTATTTGTAACAATCTCATTCAGCAATCCCATTTTAAGACTGAGACCAAATTTTTAATGACAAAAATTAATGCAGCCTTCATCCTTCAGTCTTTATTTAACACTTTTTTTTCCACATAAGTCAAAACCAGAAACCAGTGGAAACAAAGAAGAGATAAGCTACTTAAATGTATCTTGAAATGCTGTTTCTGAAAAGACAGAGTATGAGAACAACTTACCTAAAAGTTCACTGTCTACACTGCAGTTGGAAAAAGGGGGTCTCCTATGTACCTTTTCTGATACAATATTCTTACCTGTTTTAGGATCCAGAAAACAAACAAACAGAAAATTAATATAAAAAAATTAGTATTCAAAAACCACATTACAAAAAGTCAAGATATTAAGAAATTAAAACAGGTAACAACCAAACTATGCGTTATTTTTCTCACAGAAAAAACCCATGCAAATAAGAAGACAGGCACTACCTAGAAATTCTCATTTCCTTATCATGACATCTTGAAATAAAATACGACTTTCAACCTATTTCACTGTAAAACAAATTAAGTCATGTTCAAATTCACTGCATATAAATAAAGAGTGTTTCATTGAACTGTAAAATAACCTTGTTCTTCTGAATTTTGCAGCTCAAGGGTATTTGCAGATTTTTCTTTGACAGATAAGGCTAAGGCAACTTCCAAATCTCTTTGATAAAGTTTGTCATCCAAGGATAGCCTGGAAAAAAATCCAAACATGCTAAATAATAAAACAATGCCATGAGTGTTAGAGATCTACTTCTGACTCACTGAACTACTTTAAATTCAAATACTTGTAAAGAGATTAACATTTCAACACATTATAGCATATCATATTACGAATATTACTTCCCCAAAAGATTTAGACAAAGTATACACTAATATTTAAAGCACACTATACTCAAAAGTATTATACAATTATTGCAAAACATTTATATATATATATGCACTGATAATTGGCATTATCACACAAAAAAAATAATATGGCTGTTTGACATACCACACTGAAATGTAATATTTATACACAACTTTAGCACCAAAATAATCAGATTTCTTTTTTCATTGACATTGACTTTGTGTTTTCTTTAAATATGTTCTTTTTTAAGAAGTCAAATTTGTCTTTATGTTTCTCAGTTTTAGGAATCCTTAAATATCTCAGAATTATTACAGTTATTTTGCACTGTAGAGATATCAAGATAAGATCTGACACGCAAACCTGTTTCTGCACTTATGCAGGCCACTTGCTTGAGTTCTGTAGAGCTGTAACACAACAGACATAGCTTACTACTGAACTCAGGCAAGTTTTCATGACTCTCTGCATAACCACATTATCCCTGATTTGCAACTACACCAATGAAGTTGAAAATATTTATCACATTAATATGTTAGTTGTTTATTCTCAGCTGCTTAAAACTCTAAGGAAAAAAAAAAAGGAAAACCGAATACTATTATTGTAATCCAGCTTTACAGAGAGTTGACCACATTTCAACACTTCATACCTAGGTGTCTGCTTTTGTGACGGAGTCAAATCTTTGTGTGGCTTTTTTTGCTTCTCTTTTTTCTCCTTCTTTGGATCCTTGAGCTGTGTTCTGGATTTTTTGCTTGAAGGTGCAGCTATATGTGCAAAGTCTTCATCTGTTCGGGAAACAGCAACAAGTGTTAATGAGTTTTCCTATATCCTTCCATATGATCAAAAGAAATGATTAACTTAATTTCATCACACAGTGAAAATATACAAAAGATAACCTTTTTGAAATGAATTCTATTTTTAAAGAACATACCAACTATACTATTCTTAAATATATTTTAAATGAAAATTTAACATAAGTTCTTTTGCATATACTTTTATTCAAGAGGTAATTATCTCAATTTTTATTACCAATATGGCAATAAAGCTTCAATGTCCACTGTGTTACCAGATTTTCAATAAGTCCACCTTTTGATATGCTGAATGGCAATCAATTATAATAGTAATCTCTGTCATTAAACAGTTTTAGAGTTCTTGATTCTTTGGGAATTGTTCCCCTTAAAGACTCCCATTCTTAAAAAATGTCGGGTGCTCCCCTTTTTCTACCATTTTCATATTGCCTCTTACCAAATATAGTGCATTTCTCCAATTTTCAAAGAAAATTAGAAGGCATGAAAGTCGCCATTCTTCCAACTGAAGACATTGCAGATCACAGTGCAAAATAAGGAAAATATCTTCAGTATTCTCTAAATGATGGAGAACCTTAGATAAGATCACTAATGTTTCTGAGTATTTAGTTTTAATATTGCAAGTAGTTGCTTATAAACTAAGAAAAGTCACGCACCACATTTAGACTCCTAAAACTAAGAATCTCCATTAATCCACATGATTCACAAGGGATCTTATATTTACTTTATATTTATTTATATTTAGATATTATTTACTTTCACCCTCCCCTTCCCACCAATTCAAACTGTTCCCTGGATCCTGCAAACTGCATGGAAAAACAAACAAACCAACCCCACATGAAAGCAACCAAATTATGTAAGAAAAATGCATAACACCCATTAGGGTTTAGAGGTAGATGAGGACTGTCATGAAAACAAATAGCCTGCAATCTATTTTTCTTGTCAATGGAACTCAAAATTTGACTGCTATGTCCCTAACCAAAACCCATCAACATGCAGAGCTGTAGGAGAAACATTAGCTCTACATACAGATGATTCACACCTCCTTTATATTCCCATTTACAATCCTGCGAACTGATAATCAGGACATGGAACAACCAATTACCACTGAAAACTGAGGCAAGGAGAGAAATAGATTTTCCTGCGACAAGACACAGTGTATTCACCAGTTTCATGACATGCTGTCGTTATATTCTGGCTTACAGCCATCATATTTTTGCTGAATTAGGATATTTGCCAGGGTGCCCAGATTACTTCCAGTAAAAACAGTTAACAGCCTTTTCAATGAACTAATTCATTAAAAACACTCTGATGACATTTTGGGTGGTTGCCTTAGTGCTTGGTATTTTTGTTACGTACGAAAACATGCCACTTACCATCATCTTCCAAATCCCCAAACTGAGAATAATCAACAATTTTCTTGTTCCTGTGGCAAAAAAAACCCCCCATACACTATTAATCCTTTCAGAGCTGAGCACCTTGGCTTGCTAATGCTTGACTTTTGGGTAAATCACGTTTTACAAGAGAAGCGCAACATGTTCCAATGTATTGTATAACCAGTGCTACTGTATACAACATGGTTATTAGGAACAGCTTCTAGATTTATTATTCTTATTTTTAATCTTAAAGCAACGGTTCTTTTTGTTGTTCTCGTTGTGGGAGCACTGCATACTCTTTATGTACACACTATCTCGGGGCTGCTATTGTGCAACGGAAATTATCTCCCTGGTGACTGTTAGGCGCTTGAAATGCGTTTTCCGCGCACTTTCGAGGCCGTTTCCTGTGCAGGTGTAACGCCGCTCAGAGGGCACACCGGCAGCGCTTTCAAAGCGCACCCCTCAGACAGGGATCCCCCGAGGGACCGCCACCCGCCGGGGCCGCTCTTCGTGGG